ACACATAATAACTCTAAGAATTAGTAAGCGCTGTAGGGCCTTATCTTTGTCTAGCAAAGAGGATTAAAACAAAGAGTAACATAAGAATAATAAAATAAATAAGACTAATAAGCTATTTAGTATAAAAAAAATAAACATTAAAGACGCCTTTTAGCAGGTAGGCACCTACTTTATAAACAAACTTTTACTAACACAGTTGTGTAAGCAGAGCGGCAAGGACGCTGCTAGGAAGAAGGGGCAGCGTGTTACAGTCTACAGTTAGACTAACGTAACTCCACTAGCAGTGCTCCACAATCTAGCTAAGTTAAGACAGGACTTGCTTATAGACTAATTAGAAGTCACAGAGGCAGCGCAGCTGCCTGCAGTAATAAAAGAATGCGTTGTCTAATAAGGAGTAGGACATAAGGCCTAAGGGAGCTTAGCAAGCTTAGACAAGTTAGATAAGTTAGTAGTAGGGCTAACTTAAAAAACTTGTCTAAACTTATCTAAACTCTCTTTAGCGCCCTAGCGCATGTATATAGTTTCTATATTAAACAACCTTTAGAAGGTGTTTTTAATGTTTAGTTTATTTTTTACATAGATTAAGTAGCATTTAGCTTTTTAAAAAGCTGTAATACTATTTATATATCTTACACTATATATACCTCTAACCCTGTCTAACAGGACTGTTTAACCCTGGCCTCTCTACTGCTGCACATAGGGCAAACTACAATCTAGTCACTCTCCTCCCCTCTAATAGCCTAATAGCCTGTACGTAGAACTGTACACCCTACCGGTTGGCCCCTACCACCCGTCCTACTTCACCCCTAGGAATATCATAAGACCCGAGTGCTTCTAGGAAGCAAGGATTGTAACAGAATTATGTGCGTGTGCGTAGGCAGTAGAAGCTAGAGCGCAGCAACTAAGCTAACATATCTCTAGCAGAATCTAGGATTATATACGTAAAAGTTACACTCTATCTCTACTATTAATATAATAAAGTATATTAGTGTCTATTAACCTAAAATTATAAGTGTGTGCGTGTGTTAAAAAAACTTAGGCATGTATATATATATATATATATACTTAAGCTTTTATGTTACCTAAGAAGTTTAATATAATGTTATCATTAGCATGCTTAAGCTACAAGCAAGAGGTAGTGTAACCTAATTAGATTAAACTAAGGAGCAGAGGAGCTGCTCTACAAGTTTAAGATATACATGTGTGCCTCTTGCTAAGGCGCTGCTTGTTGCGCTTAGTGCTGGCAGGAATCGATCTGAATCGATTATCCGGAATCACGTGGCGCTATCCTAGATCTGGATCAGATCCATGAATTAATCTAGCGCTAAGGCTAAATAGGCAACTATTCTAAATAATTAGTCTTTTACTTAATTTTTTATGCTATTATACTCTTAATAAGTTGTATAATAAATATTTAATAAAAATTTAGCTTAAGATAATAAAATTCTATTTATAATAGAAGCAGTTAATAGCTTAAAATCTAAATAATAAAGAAAAAAATGTATATTAAGCCCTACCTTATATAATAAGCATTATAGAAAGTATCTTCTTTTTATCTTATTATACAAAAACATAGACATTGTAATTTAAAATGCTAAAAAAATAATAAAAATAGCTAGAAGCAGCATAGCGCTAATCGCTGCAAAAGATGCATTTAGGTTTTTCCTGCTGCCTCTAACCTAAACGTACAAGCAGCTCTAAAAGTTATAGCGCATACTGTAAGTTACTCTCTCTATTATATAATAGGCTAATAATTTTAGATCTAGCAGAAACAGGTTCTCTCTACACCTTATAATAATATTAAATACTATAGCAGCACTTTTTATGCCTTCTAATTAAATACCTACTACTTATTATATGTTAATGTAGTGTTAATTTAGACTTATAGTACTATTAATATAAAACCTTACTATATGCCTTTTATTTTACATGTTATATAATAACTAACTTATATAGTAAAGTGTGCTAGCTATTTTTACTATATTTTATTTTTAAAGTGTGTTTTACTTTTATCTAAGTAGGTAGCTACTTGCGCTAATTATAAATTTAAAAATTAAGCTACCTATTATAGTTACTATAATAGCTCTTAACCTAATTAGTATTATCTAACACCTAATAATAGTATAGGTCCCCTAGCAACTTTATCTTCTAGTGTAAACAACATTGTTATAGATTACCTATATAAGATTAAGAAGCTAGAAAGTAATAATAAAAATAAGTGCTAAAATATTATATAATAAATTACTTAAAATTAGCAGTCTTTTTATAAGTAAAGAATAAAATAAAAAATAAAGATCTTTACTTTTTTTAAATAGTTTACTTATTTTTAACTTAACTAGTAATTTAAAGATTTAATTACTTTAATAATATTAGAATTTAATAATACTTAAGTCTAAAAAATTATATAACATACTTTAAAAAAATATTTTAGTTTATTACTTATAAGTAGTATAAAGTAGATCTTAAGTGTAAGATAAGTAAAAAAGGCTACTAAGATTATTATATGTTATTTTACTACTATTTTAACACATCTTTAACCCCCTTTGTTACTAGCTTTCCTGTATACTCTGCTTACTTATCTAGATTCTTTACTAAAGCCTAATTACTAAGAATTTACTTAGTTATAGCTTTAATTAAATAATCTTAGACTTTAAAAATAATCTATGCTATTATATAATAAGTAGCCTATTATTTTCTTTACTTTTACACTTTACCTTAGAAAGGTGTTAATAATAAATTTTAATATTTAGATTAAAAATTAAGGTAAAATTATTTTAGCTAAGCTTTCTATACTTTTTAGTCTTTAGTAAAAAACTTTAAAGTAAGCATTACTTTATTAGCCTAGTTTATATAATAATAAAAATGTAAAACTATTATAATTTATTAGAAAAGATGCTTTTAAAGTAAGTTTTACTATTTTTACTATGCTATAAGTGCCTAAGTAGCTTATATAACAGAATTTTTATTAAATTATATATTTTCTTTTTTATGTTTTGCTAGGAAAGCTATTATGTAAGTCTATAAGATCTATAAAGAAGAAAGAGCTTATTTAAGACATTTTATATCTTTTTTATTTTAAAAGATTACATCTTTAAAAATCTATAAAAATGTTTTTATTATATAAAGCATTTTTTAATTTTTTATCTTTAAAGTATTATATTTAAGATTAAGTTAGTTTTTAATATAAAATTTTATATACATTTTAAGCTTAATTACTATATTAATTATATAATTATCTAAAGGTATTATCTGTCTAGCTTGCAAGATAAACTTATTTATATAAAGCCCTAAACTATAAATATAGACTATAATGTTATAAAGTTTACTAAAGAGACTAATAGCTCTAATTATATAAAATTATATAAAATTAAAGAGTAACTTATTTACCTTTTTAAAGTCTACAGCTTTAAGATTTTTAAGATAACTTTTATATAAACTTAAAAATAAAAATGCTTACATAATAAAATTAATAATATAACTAAAATAGTAAACTTTTTTATTTTTAAAATTTTAATATAGATTAAGTTTATTAGAATACTACTTACTAATTATATAATAAAAAGTGTTATTAGTGCTAGCATTATCTTTAATAACTACTTCTAAATTTTTAGTAATCTTGTACTTTTTAAGTACTATATAAAGTACAGAGAACTATTTTTTACTAGAATAGCCTAAAACTAGTTATAAAGTAAAAAAGTGTTTAGTAACAGTATTATCTAAGCTTTATATAAAGTGTTTAGTAATTATAATAAATAAAATTTAGTTTAAAAAGGTCTAAAGATTAAGTATAATATTAATTTTTAAAGTTACTGTTTAAATCTTATGCTAAAAAATAAGCTTCTTTTTATACTAATAGCTTTAAATTACTATATAAATAGTAAAGTGTAAAACTAAAATAGCCTCTCTAGTAATAAAATTTAATGCTTATATAAAAGCTTAAAAGAATAATAATTTAATAACTAAAAAAGTAAAACACTATTAAATAATTAGTTATATAAAAGCTTTTTAAATAATATCTTTATTTAGATAAGCTCTAAACATAGTATTCTATATATATTTTTTTATATAAGGTTCTGCGCAGTTTTATAGCTCTTAGATTTTAATAGCACCTGCTTATTATATAAAAAAAAAGTGCTTTTTACTAAAACTTAGTAGTTAGATTTTAAGTACCTTTAAAAGTTTATAATAACTTTTAAAGTGTAGTTATAATTATAAAAATTATAGTGTTAAAAAAGACAGCTATTTTATTTAGTAAGTTTATTAGACATTAGTAGTTATACAAAGTTTTTAATGTTACTACTCTTATTTTTAGGCACTAGAGCTAAGCTTAATTTATAGGATTCTATTATATAAGACTTTTAAAGTTGTTTTATTAATAGGGAAGTAAATTTTTAGCTAAGACTATAAATTAATTTAAGGATCTAATCTAGATTCAGGATAGCGTGGATTCGGATCGATCCACGAATCGGATCGATCTATCGCCAGCACTGGTTGCGCTAGCGAGGGAGCTGAAGCCGCAGAGCATGTGACGCGGTCCGCGCCGTCACACTATATACAGAATAGTATATATACATGTTGCCTGTAAGAACCCCTGTATAGGCTAATTCTAGCTTTATAGTGCATTATTACTCTTTGTAAGGACTGGCAGCCTTACATTATCATCCTTCTTAGAAACGCCTGTTCTAGGTGTCACCTAACCTTAACCTGCACCTTAGAGGCGCAACACGCGCACAGCTTAAGGCTGACCACCTGCGGCTTAGAGGCGCAGGATAAACACAACGCTTAGTGTAAGGACATGGATCTGTACCATTGCGCTAATACAACTAAAAAGGTGCGAATAATCAACTAACAGTTAATCTGCGTACAGGTTAGTATATATACCTGTCGCGCGTAAGGACCCTAGTACAAGCCGTTTCCAGCCTTACAGGGCATTATCCTTTGTCTTCTCGAACGCACTACTTAGAGTGATTGAACGGCATCTAGCAAGCTATCAAACGTTTATGCACATCACCGTAGACGGAGCTTCTCTGGCATCTATGTGGGCGCTCCTTAAAGACCTCTTCAAAACTCGGAGCAGGCGGACCTGGATTCTATTCCTGTACATGCTAATATCGATTTTTGGGCGTTGGTGATGCCTACGGTTCTCTCCGCGATGACGGGTTATGTGAATACCAGTGTCGGGTGGGTTTCCATTGGCAGTGGCGAGCAGATTGCCCCTGCAGGCGATTTCACACCGGGATATTTTATAACGAAAGCGGGAAATGACACGTTCAATGCTACATGTTCGGCCTCAGATCAGTTCACTCTACTCGAAAATCTGTGGTATGGCCGTGGCGACTGTAGGCACCTCTAGACGCTGTTCGACAGATTTCATGGTAGGATCGGCGCTTACTAGGCTATTAGGCAACTGTCCTATGCCAAATAGAACGTTCATTCAGTACAGTCGGTGGCCGCCAACATATTACGAGGAGCATTTGGAGTTCAAAGGCTGGAACTGGACGGATTGTGAGGAAGCACTCCTCTTTTCAGCTCCACGTCTTCATTCCATGTACACCAATATTTCCTTTTAGGCACCTTTCACTATCCCAACAACATCGAGACATTTTCGTCATGGAACTGGGCTAACGGCAGCTGGGAAATGCGGACACCCAGGTGTAAGTATCAGGATGTAACTATATGTGTTCTTCTGTTACTAACTACACTCCAGGCAGGATATCCCTCAATATAACTCTCTTTAGCCGTGTATATGACGCCGAAGACGAAAGTTACGAGTGGGGATATTGTAACAACGGTAAAGGATACAGCTTAGCGGCGCTGGGAAACTCATCCCCTGTCTCCCGGACACCGCAGACCCCTCCTATCAGTGGGGTTGCAGTACCGTGCTGTCAACAGTGTTTGCTATCTATCAACTGGTCTGGGCTACCACCATGTATATTATCTGGCAGGATTCACAGTTCAACTCGAAGCTTGTGAAGAGTGGATATGCGATGACGCAGTTGAGAGCTGCATTCACATTGGCCACGGCTGCAAGGAGCAAGACAGGGATAGAAAATCGGGAGTTGCTCTAGGCAGATACGAAGAGTTTGGAGAGGGAACTGTTTGGGACAAGTAAAAAGAAGGCGGCAGAGGTTGGGTGTGCGATTTTCAGGGACGGTGCAGGGCAAGAGTCATGAGGGAGATGGCACGTCTAGGAGGAGGAGTGAAAGGCCGATGAGAGAGGATATTTGAGGGACCAGTTATCGGGGTTTCTCTCTAAATGATAAGAGGATGCTTCTCGCAGTTGCTTGTCGAATTAACTTGGCATGTTGAAAGTTGGAACTTTGTAACTTACCTGATGGGGCTAGAGACTTTCTGTATTTGGGTGTGGCATCGTACGTGGCTCAGCAAATGGAGTGGCAAAGTTGCGGTCGGCACATCTAGACCGCTGGCGCATTCCCATTTCCAATGATACAGCTCTTTCCTCCGTCACTCTAGCATGATAGACATCTCTTGCGACATAACTTCGACTTATATTCCCTTGCCCGCTCTCAGGCGTGGACGAGGCGATAGAGTTTCATTCCATGGCTCGCAACGCTGAACATGCGCGCATACGCATGCCTAAGCCCATGTCAGAGGCTCGGAGAGAGCGTGACGTCCTCCGACTCTATAGCTCGGCCTTTCGCGACATTCCTTACCTTGACCAGCTTGGCCCATCCCCAGATCTCTGTTTTCTCCCTCACGACCATGTCGCCCGCCGGGCCCAAGACTCCGCTCTCATGGGCTTCGCCCAGTTGGCGTCAATCCGCCTGGGTGCCAATCGTGCCTTAATCTCGCTCATTGACGGCCAGCGACAGCATATCCTAGCGGAAGCCACGCCAGACACATCCTTGCGGTTCGACTCTAAACTGCCTCCTGGTGATTTATGGCTCGGCAACGTGAGCATTCCCAGGACGTGGGGAGCTTGTGAGGCCGTGCTTTGCATAGATCCTACAAAGCTAGCTACTAGTGAAGATGCCACCGTCATCATAAATGATCTCTCAGAGCACGAGACTTTTCGAATGCGATCCTATGTGAGGGCGGGGCCGCAGGTGCGATTCTACATCGGAGTGGCTTTGACCAGTCCCTCAGGAGCCATCGTCGGCGCTCTATGCATCTTTGACGACAAGCCTCGCAGGGCGGTATCGCGGCCAGACATCATATACCTGACCGACCTTGCCACTACCATTGTGGAGTATTTGGACACATATACGCTCAGGGATCAGTACAAACGAGGAGAGCAGATGACTCGCGGTCTCATATCATTCACCGATGGAGCTTCAACTCTACAGCCGTTTGAGAATGATATTCAGGACCCTTCCGCGAGGCCTAAGCTTTACGAAAGATCGAGAGCTCCAAAGTCTGGAATAGCTACTGAGCCGCCCCCAAGGCCACCTCCGGATCCGCCCTCAAAAACCAAGACAGACACAACATCCTCAAGAACTCTTAATGGTACATCGGCCGCATCGAGTGCTATCTTGCAGAGCCGGCAGGACTTGATGCAACGGGGAAAACTGCCCAAAACCGTCTCTACACAACATCAGACGGTTAAGGCGTTACAAGAAAGCATTTTGCCACTGAACTCCAAACGAATGTTTGCACGTGCAGCAAACATCATGCAAGCATCAAGTGATTTGGATGGAGTTCTTATTCTGGACGCCTCGGTCACGGCAACAAGCCAGTACCATCACGGCGAGGATACCGAGTACGGGTCGGAAGCCAATTGGGAGAGTGCCTTGGATTCGAAATCGTCCAGCGAAGAGACACTCTTGACGCCGCAGAGTTCAAGAAAAACTTGCCAAATACTTGGATGCGCGACTTTGGAGAGACCTAATGTCGCTGGAGCCGGGGCCAGGCTCGCACAACCATCTCTCCCGGAGGCAGATCTGACACGCTTGTTCCGCAAGTTTCCTGCTGGTAAGGTGCTATACTTTACGGCCGATGGTGAACCTGTATCCTCGGCAGATGAATCGGAATCATCTGGTGGCCCTGGTATCTTGAACGAAAGGCTATCACTACGAGAACAACAGAGGCGCAAGACGCCAGTCGATCGTGTGGGTAAAACTTGGAAGGCTATTCTAACTGCCCTACCTGGCGCTCGCAGTGTCGCTTTTGTACCATTTTGGGACTTCCAAAGGTCAAGATGGTTTGCTGGGTGTCTGTGCTGGAGTAATCGACCCGATCGCCTACTCTCCACACAAGTAGATCTCACCTACTTCAAAGTCTTTAGTAGCTCAATTATGAACGAGCTCGCAAGACTAGATGCTATCGCCTCGAGCCTAGCCAAAACAACGTTTGTCGCTTCCATCTCTCATGAGCTTCGCTCACCATTACACGGCATTCTTGGTACCTTACGGTTCCTCCAGGATAGCCCCCTCGACTCGTTTCAGATATCGATGCTCAACTCCATGGCAGCGTGCGGACAGACCCTCCTTGATACTCTCAATCACGTCCTAGACTATGCGAAGATCAACGAAACAAAACGGAATCTCTCTTCGAAACGACTGAAGGGTATAAATACCATTCGGTTGTCCTCGAAACCACTTACATCACAAAGTCCTCATAAGTCAGTGTTACAGGGATCTGCTTTCGATCTAGGATTAGCAACAGAAGAGGTGGTTGAGGCTGTCTTTGCAGGCGTAAATTACCAGCCCACCTCAAGCACTGAAGAGGATGGTCCTTCCTCTCCATTGGAGCCGAATTCGGAACCCGAGAGGACTTCACCCCTTGGGGCAATTGTGAAACGCAAGTGCTGTTTCGTTGTTCTGGACGTTGCGAATGAGGAAGACTGGATCTTTTGTGTCCCTGCTGGTGAATGGAGAAGGATTGTTATGAATGTTTTTAGCAACGCATTGAAGTACACTGAATCCGGGCACATCCTGGTGTCTCTTCGAGCGGGGGATCAGAGCAACGGCGCGAGTACTTTCACTCATGTTACCTTAACTATCACTGACTCTGGTTCGGGAATGAGCCCGCAATTTCTGGCAAACAAAGCTTTTCAGCCCTTTTCTCAGGAGAACTATCTATCACCCGGCACCGGCCTTGGCCTCAGCATTGTGCAACAGATCATTGAAACCATTGGCGGAAAGATCGAGGTTAGCAGCGACACTACGAAGGGTACCAAGCTCACCATTAAGCTTGCGCTACCCAGGCCAGAGAACCCACGACTTGATGTAGCTCCAAGAACTCAGTTTCTAGCTTCTGTGCCACGATTGGAAGGTCGACGCATTTGTATATTAAACATGACTCACCCCAGCTATATTAAGTCCCCAGTGCTACATTCGACGGATGAAGGTCTCAAGTATTTCGCTGATGCTTTGGCGAGGACTTTGACCAACTGGCTCAAAATGAAGGTCGTTCATACGAGCGAGTGGGATGGACACGACGCTGATATAGTTATATGTCCGGAGGTTTCATTCGAATATCTCTCAGCCATTCGACAGCGAAGATTTGCGAACGAGAGAGCTCCGGTGACGATCTTCGTTGCAATGGATGGGCTAGAAGCGGCGACACTACGCTTGGATGCCCGCATGACAAATAAGGAGTCTGTTGTTGAAATCATGACCCAGCCGTAAGTTGCACCTGTTGTAGATTATCTGGGACTCTTCTAATCAAATACTAGATGTGGACCTTACAAACTAGCAAGCTTAATTTCCCATTGTCTCGATCGCTATGAATCTCTTAGTGAGAATTCCCAGTTCCACGCTCATACAATATCTTCTCCTCAATCCACTCCCGACCCGGATCCAAACACTCCCGCTCCACCTGTAATCACAGAGAAGCGTTGGAACCCATCCTTTCCGCTACCAATTCCGCCGATATTTGAAAATTCACCAGAGTCAATGTTTGTGCCGAATGTCTCTAGTCCTCGCCTCCCCAACCAACTCAGAACTTCCATCTCGAACGTCCTGATTGTCGATGATAATCCTATCAACCGCCGACTCCTCGTCGCCTTCTTGAAAAAGCGAAGCCTCGCCCACAAAGAGGCTACGAACGGACTCGAAGCCCTTCGCGCATACCAGAACGAGGCCATCAAGTTCGACGTGATCCTCATGGACATATCAATGCCAGTAATGGACGGTATGTCAGCAACACGCGCTATCCGCCAGTATGAAGCGAAGAATAGCATCAAACACGCCCATATCATAGCACTCACGGGCCTGGCATCCGCAAGTGCGAGGCTCGAGGCTTGGAGCTCCGGTGTGGATTGTTTTATGACGAAGCCGGTAGATTTCAGGGCACTGTGGAGGGCTTTGATAAATGGGGAGATGAATGGGGAGTTGAAAGGAAAAGCTTGAAGATGCAAGTAGAGGCATTGAGTTCAGGGTTATGACCTATTGTTGGAGTTTTGGATGTCTATAAATTAGGTCATTAGAGGCATGCTACGGCCGAGGCTGTTACCGGCTATACTTGGTTGCGAGAAAATGGGTGCTTACTTGGTGCGGTCAACATGTGTACTTGCCTAGAATAAATGGGCGCTTTTACTGCACTATAGTAGTAATTTTATATGTAAAAGCAGACGAGGATATGCAGTATCCAAATACATGAGGATGCCCTTCAAGAATAAGTAGGCCTAACAAGTGGTATCCCAATACCTCTTTTCCTTCTCCCAGTATACCCTTTTCCAAATGCACACGGGATTGAAACAAAGAGATATGACAGTTCTCAATCATAGGGACACCATACAATATGTACACATCCACCACACCTTCAACATCCGCGTTCCCATCTTCCACGGAATAGAAACAACTTATGTACACAGCCTGCGTTGAAAGGGGAAGGTTTGAAATTCTTGAAGTCTTCAAGGTGTGTGAGATTGGGATATGACTATCTAAAACAGGCAGTTGTGAGGAACGTTCGCTGGTGCCTGTTGTATTGAAGAGCTCATAAAGCGCACACCAAACTCTGCTACTAGTCATATCTTCAGCGTCCTTCACTAACTCACAGGGAGACATCTGTGGTGAATCTATGTCTCTTCAAAAGGCCAGCAAGGCGTACGGAAGGGAGCTCTAGCGCTCACGCCAACTACAGACCCATTCCGTGTACACGAGATGCACCTAGCCAGTCCTAATTCTAATACTCGTCAAATAGCTGTGATCATGAAAAGGAACTAAATTCACACTAACTATATCCAGATCAGCTTCCCTGGCTCGCCAAACCCCAATTTATCTCAGCTAGCTTAGCTAGGGTGATGATAGGACGCATAAACCACCATACATAGTGCTACTCTAAACAGAGTATAGCCTAGAGGCTAGCAGTTTCTAACCCCTGTAACTAGCGTTTCTCTTATTAGCTGTCTAAGAGACTTTTATAATTTTCTATATAAATTAACGTACCCTACAGGCGAGTTGCTTACACACCTAAGTTGCTTACTTTTGCTAAGACTACACTAAACTACTCTTTTTACACTAATGCATTCCTAACAACACTACTTAGATGTGTTAAAAGAATGTTAAATATAGCTTAACTATGCTTTAAGCATTTAAATAAAATATAACACTTTTTAAGTAACATACTACAGCTATTTATAAAGTTTTTTTTTTTTAAAAAAAAACTAATATTGTCTGAATAGCAATATTTAGATACGCGGTTAGGCGTCACGTGTTATGGTCTTGTGTCACAGTTATACGCACAGACAGATAAATACCCCTTTCCTTTGCACAGAATTAGAACAAGAAGAATTAACACTAGTTACCTGCAAACCCCCCCCCGCGTAATGTGTACACTGTGTAAACCTCTTTGCTTTGCATAGCTAGCATAGAGCCTATTTAACACTAATTAGTAGTTTAAATGCTATAAGACAGAAAGCTTTTTTTATACCTTTTTATTTAAAAGATTATGTATAAAAGAAATCTTTTTTTTACTAATTTAACTATAAATTACTAAAAGTAAAAATAAAGTCTAATTTACATATAAGTAGCTATAAATCTCTATTTAGTTACCTAACAAAGAGCAGAAAACCTGTCTATATAATACTATTTAAAGGTATTATATAAATAGTAGTGCTTGTTTAACACTAAAAGGTTTATTTTATTTTTTTATATAAAGCTATTTAAAGGCAGTGTACAATAAGAAGTAAGACACTGCACAACAACATATAACTAACTACTATAAAGTAATAAGCAACACTAGCTTCATCTTTAACTAGCTAACATAACATATTAATATATAATTAATACATACTTTTAGTAGACATCTTAGCAAAGACTCTAGCAAAGTAGATAAATATTAAAAATTAAGTAAATAAAATTAAACTATTAAATAATACACTTAAAAAAAGCTTAATTTATATATAGCTAATGTCTGTACGTAAGTACAGCTGTGTCTGTACACGCGTACAGCTGAATTAGGTTGCCTAAAACGTTGGCTATCTAGCCTGTGCGTTAGGGGCTATGTGTACTTAAGAGCCCTCTTTCTTTGTATAAAAAGAGAGGGTTGTGACGGTCCTACGCAGAGAGCTCTGTCGCGCTTCACATGACGAGCTGCCCGTGCAGCCAATCAGGATATAGAGGGTGCGACTAGCGCAACGCTATTAGTTTGCTTAGCGCTAGCGTCCTTACTAGCGCCTTAGCGCTGCAAGCACTTCTTCTGCAGAGCTGCCCTTAAAGCTCTTTTTCTTCTCTCTATCTTAGTGTAGCTAAAATAGAGCTAACCTACTCTGCCTTACTTCCCTAGCTTTATATAGTAGTAAAGATAGTGCTTATTATTACATTATACTAAGATTATCTTATTTAGCTAAAGAATAGTAACATAATATTTAGGTCTACTATGCAGTTAGCTTTAAAAGCTTAATCTGCTAACTAACTTTTACTTAGACAGATCTGCTAGTACAACTAGGCTAAGCTTTAGTTTATTAATAATAGCTATCTACCTTAAAGCCCTAGTTAGGCTAAGTAACTATAAAAGTAACACTAAGTAATAATTAAATTATTACACCTTATTAAGAAGCTTTAAGCTAGGAGTGCTACTGCTTTAGTTTAAATTAACTATAGAGAGGGGCCTACTGTACTAACTACTACCGCAACAACGCGAAGAGAGCTGCAGGCTCTGTACAAACCCACGTACAAACCCACCACTAATTAACTATTAACCCTACTGTCACTAGACCTAGGGCTTACACTACACTATACCTCTGCAGACTGCTAGACCCTAGAGTAGAGGGAAAGAGCTAAAAGCACTAAAATAAAGAAGCTATTAAAGATTAAAATACATGTTAATTCTACTACCTAGCCTACTAGTAACACCTATACGCCTAAACTAAGGACGCTGCTATGCTAGGCCTAGTTCTACACTAATAATGTGTTTAAGAAGGACTACACTATTAAGACTGCGCGTGTGCGCGCTTAGTAAGCTAGAAAAGCACTATTATTTTAAACAAAGGCTATTACCTAAAGTACTACTAATTATAATTTAATTAGCCTCTACCTAGACTTACTAAACCTTATAGCTATAGATTACATAGTTATAGTAAATAAGCTACTATAGTAGTTATTAAAAGTATAAGCTTATTAAAACTACACTAATACTTTTACTAAAGCAGTTAATATAGCAGAAGCTAAGTAAGTAAAAGTTAGTAAAAAGCTATAAAAGCTTTAAAGCCTACTAAATAAAACTCTTAAATGCCTAGCTAATTATAAAAATAAAGTTAAAAAACTTAAAGCTACTACTATGCTAGCATATAACTAATTATTTTTTTTAAATAAAGCTTATTAAGTGCTAAAAGGCACACCTACACTAACTATATTAAGAAAATAACTATAATTTAACCTAGCTACACTAAAAACGCCTAACTTTTTTTATATTAGTACTATAAGCTAAGGAGCTAGGCTAAAACTATTAGCTAAAGCAGAGAATCTGCCTAGGTTTATAGGTAAAAATAATGTTAAATTTAACTACTAAAAAGACCTTCTAATAAGTAAGCTACTTTATAACATAGACTACTTTATACCTGCAGATAGTAACCCTATAAAAAAAAAAAACACTTAAGTACACTATACTAAAAGTAAAGTAAGTAGTTAAGTGCTAAGTTAACTAGTTCCTTACTTTAAAGCTTAAAAGTAGTAAGGTAAGCTAGTAATAACTAAAAATATTATAAGCTTTTTAAAAAAAAACTTTAAAAATACTAACTAGTAAATAAAAGCTAAAACTAAGCTTTACTAGCTTAAAATAAAGTTATTTTAAGATTTTAAAAACTTTAAAGCCTAGTTTATATGCCTTATAAATAAAGCTAAGCTGCTACTTAAGCAGTAAAAGAATAAAATTTATAACACCTTATTAAGTTAGCTTTAAGTATATATAAAGACTTACTATAATAACTTAATAGTTAGCTTCTTTAATTATATAAAGTAAGCCTACTAGATATTCTTTTTACTATAAAGGTCTACTACAGAGTTAAGCGCGCAACATGTGTAAAAAGGTTAAGAAAAGCTTATATGTTAGAACATTTTTTAACCTACTACTACTACTACTGCCCTAATAACTCTAGTAACACCTTAAGTGTAGGCAGCTTTAATAAAAGATGCTATAACCTACTACTTATGCTATTAGCTAGGATATATAAGTTGCAACTACTTTTACACCTACGCTAAGAGCAAAGCTATAGAAGCAGCGTAGAAGCTAGACACTACAAGCTCTAGTAAAAACAGTAAATTAAAAAAAAACTTACTTTAAAAAAAGTCTTCTCTCTAGAGTTAATAAATAAAGCGCTAGTATAAAAGCTACATAAGCTACTATTTAGCAGTAAGCTTTTTATGCTGCTCTGCTGCATCTCTACTAAAGGGATTACTATACACTTAAATAGTCTTATTAACATAGAGGCTAGCAGCTATAATCTAATCTACTTGTAATACCTGCAGACAATCTAGAAGCACCTATAGCCTAAGATGCTTAGCATTAAGTCTATCTTTATTACAGGATATAATAATTAACTAAATAAACAAGTAAATAAGTACTTTTACATAGATCTAGTAATTAATAGCTACTAGCTACCTACACTCTTTATCCTCTATAACATAGGCTGTTATAACTTAATTATAAGCTATAAAGTTCTTAAAAAGGCTAGTGTTTAGATTAACTATAAGAAATAATTAATTTAGTAGCTAGATAATAATTAAACATAGGACTATAAGCATAATATTATTATTTTTATATGTAGCGCGTTTTTATAAATTAACTAATCTTATTAAGTAAACACTAACTAATAAAATAAGTTTATAAAAATATTAAAAATTAATTAATACTAACTTTAATTAACTTAGAAGCATAATTAGTAGTAAAATTTAAAAAAGATAAAAAAGTAACTTAATTCTTAACTAATTCTTTTTAGCGCTAATTAAGCGTGCTAACATTAACTAGCTGTCTCTAGAAAAGCACTTGCTAAGGTAGGGCTAGAGGTAAACATAATTAACACTGCTATGTTTATGCTACATGTAAGGCGTAGAGATGTTGTAATTAGACATATTAGTGTTTATAAAGTTAATTAACTAATTAAGGACTATTAAGCACTTATAATAGTTAATTCTAAAGATAAGCTCTAACAGCTAATGCTTAAGAAGTTACTATCCCCTGCGTATGCTAAAGCTACGCTAGCCTACTTTTTAAAAAAAGACTTAGATAAACTACTGCTACACTAACTTAGTGTTAACTATAATATTAAGCTAATAGCAGAGAACACTTTATTAAGTAGCCTACTATACAGCATGTCTCTAGAGCAGCTTAGGCTAGTTAAGGACTATCTAGACAACCACCTACAACGCAGATTTATTACGCACAGTAACACTAGCTACGCTTCTCTAGTCTTGTTTACTAAGAAGCTAAAAGAAAAGTAGAAGTTTTATATAAACTATTATAAGCTTAACATAATTATAAAAAAAAACACTTACTTAATACTTTTAATCTAAAAGATGCTTACGCAGCTAGCTGCAGCTAAGGTCTTTACTAAGCTTAACATATAACAAGCGTTCTATTACATCTAGCTTACTAAAGAGGTTAAGGACTTAACTACTTTTTAAACACACTATAGTAACTATAAGTATTATATGCTGCTTTTTAAACTTTATAATAGCCTTATAACTTTTTAGTAATATATTAATTAGGTTTTACATAGCCTACTTAATAACTTTTATATAGCTTACTTTAACAACATTTTAATTTACTTAGACAACCTTTTATAGCATAAGGCATATGTTACTAAGGTCCTATATTATCTATAAAACACTAGCTTATAGATTAACCTTAAGAAAAGTAAATTTATAGTTACTAAGATAAAATTTTTAAGTTTTATTATTAGCATAGACAAAATCTGTAAGGACTCTACTAAGGTAGCTGCTGTCTAAGACTAGCCTATACTAACCTTAATTAAGAGCCTATAGTTGTTCCTAGAGTTCTGCAACTTCTACTACGCCTTTTTTAAGAACTATAGTTGCATTGTATAGCTGCTTACAAAGCTGCTTAAGTGTAGCGCCTAGTATCTTTTAGAAGAGCATAAGTTAGCTGCGTTTAAGCACGCTAAAGACTTTATGCTATTAAATAATATCTTTACACACTACTTACTAAATTATAAGACATGTATAAAGACTAATGTAAGTAATAGAGTTATTATAAAAGTACTATTATAGCTATAAGATAACAGCATTTAGCGCCCTATAGCGTTCTACTCTAAGACTATAAGCCTGCTGTAGATAAACTATAATATATATAATAAAAAGATGCTTATAGTTGTCTAAGGCTTATAAAAGTAGTAAGTGTAGCTAATAAGCCTATAATAAAATAAGCTATTTATAGTAATTACTAACTACTAAGCTTTTAAGTACTTTACTATTAAGCATAAGCTTACCTCTTACTAAATATAATAGGCTATGCTAATAGCAGACTTTAACCTTATGCTAACCTACTGCCTAGGCACTGCTAACATTGTTGTAGACATGCTATTAAAAAAGTAAGAAAAGCTTAAAACATAAAAAAAAAAAAATAAAGCTACTTATATATACTCTTTTTTAAGCTAAAAGTAGATTAGTGTTAGTCTTGTTACTTAATTACGCGCTGCCTTATAGAGCACCTCTTTGCTAAATAAGAAGCTTATAAAGCTACTACTAATAAATTAACTATATAAGCTTATTAATTAGATCTTAGATACTAATTAGAATTATAAAAGCTTATAATACTGCTATAATAAAGCGCAGGATTTTAGCTTATAATAGAAGATTAACGCTAAGAGCTTACTACTAAAGGAAGGGAAGCTTGTAGTTCTAGCTGTCTAGTTTCTAAAGACCTACCTTATCTACACTATTTACATAACATAACTTACTACACATTTTAGGACTAGAAAAATAACTAAGCTGCTGCGCAAGTAGTACTACTAGCTAAGCATAAGCTAGAACATTAAGACCTATATTAGCGCTTATAAGGCCTATTAGTAAAGCTATATCTTTTAAAATAAGACCTTAGAGCTTCTTAAGCTACTACTAATACTTAAGTAAGTATAGTAAAATATTTTTATAAATTTTAAGTTATTTCTACCTAATTAAGCTAGCTATAATAATGTGTTTATTATAGTAGACTATTTAAGCAAGCGCTGCTTCTTACTACTGTGCTATAAGACTATTACTGCTGTAAAGGCTGCAGACCTATACTATTACTATATCTAGCGTGTTTATAGACCCTCTTAATTAATTATTTTTAACTACAAACTATAGTTTACCTTTACATTTATAAATAAGCTTTACTGCTTTACTAGTATTAAATAAAAGCTTTCTACACCCTACTATTCTTAAACTAATAGTAACATAGAGGTGCTAAATTAGTATATTAACTAGCAACTGTGTCTATTTATTAATTACTTCTAAGACAACTAGTTAGACCTGCTACTCTACATAGACTAGGCTTAAGCATCTCTACTGCATAAGACAATAAAGTTATTACTATTTAAAATTAAGTTTAGCTATTGTCTAACACACTACTAAAACTAAAAGGCACATACAAGACGCTTACTAACTGCGCTAGAGTAGATTTTACATAAAAAAGCTTAGAGCTATGCTAAGCTTTGCTACAACACTATATAATAAGTAATTAAAATTATAAAAAAAGGCATTACTTAAGCCTAAAAGTAGTAAGCAGCTTAGGTAAATAAAAAGTAGTGTAAGCCTAACTTTATAGTAAGCAATAAGGTATATATAACTTTTAAAAGCTTTACTATAAGGTGCTCTAGCTAGAAGCTTAACTAGCAGATGTACAGGCCCTATCTAATTATAAGCATAAGAGGTTATTTATACTAGCTTAAGCTCCTTTTATACATAAGAATGTATAATGTCTTCTATGTAGACTGCCTACAGCAGGCAGCACTTACAACGCTGCTAGGTTAGGTTAAGCCTCTAAAGGAGCTAATTAAGGTTAATAGTCACCCTAAGTAGTAGGTTTAGGACATCCTAGATAGTTATGTCTACCGCAGGCGTCTCTAATACTAAGCCTTATAGGTAGGCTATAATCCTAACTCTACCTAGTATAATGCTAACAGATTCCTTAAAGCTCTGCATAAAGTAAGAGACTTTTACTAAGCATATCTTACTAAGCCTAGTCTGCTAGCGCAACTAGACACCTAGTTGCAAGTGTATAAAAAAAGCAAAAATATAGAACTTATAAAAGTTAATAATTAACCTACACTAAGGTCTTAACTAGTTTAAAGACTAACATAGAGGCGCTAAACTACCTAGTCTTAGGGATAAGACTGCCTTAGAAGGGGGTGATGTAACAGTCCTACGCAGAGAGCTCTGTCGCGCTTCACATAACAAGCTGCCTGTGCAGCTAATTAGGATATAGAGGGTGCAACTAGCGCAACGCTATTAGTTTACTTAGCGCTAGCGTCCTTGCTAGCGCCTTAGCGCTGCAAGCACTTCTTCTGCAGAGCTGCCCTTAAAGCTCCCTTTCTCCTCTCTATCTTAGTGTAGCTAAAATAGAGCTGACCTACTCTGCCTTGCTTCCCCAGCTCCATACGGTAGTAGAGACAGTGCTTGTCATCACAAGGGTAGTAGTTAATAACAAGAAAATCTTTACCTACTTACCTTTTAGTACGCCCCTTAGGCGTATGTTTGTTTAATTAAACCTAGGTTAACTAACACTAATTAGTCTATTAATAAACTGTTTTACTGTAAAAGCTTAAACCTACTACATGCGTAGCTACGCAAAGACAGCTCTTTAAGCCTTTATAGAAAACCTGTCTTTTTAATAAGCAGATTTGCAAGGATTAACAAAACTGCTACTATACAAAAAGCTTACACCTACCGCGTGCGTAGCTACGCAGAGAAGGTACAAAGAAGCTCATATCTACTGTGTGCGTAGCCACACAGAGAGGGGTAAGTAAGCCTTATACGCGCCCCTAGATTAACTAATTGCACAAAGGCAAGATTAGCAACTTGCCGCGTGCGTAGCTACGCAGAGAGGGCTTACTGCTAAGCCTTTGTGCGCTCTAGAGCCTCCTGTTAACACAGGCTGTGCAACTACTTGCCTACTGCGTGCGTAGCCACGCAGAGGAGATAATACAGGCTGCATGATTAGAAACCTACCGCGTGCGTAGCCACGCAGAGGAGGCTCCTCATCAGCAGCCCGCCTTATTAACACCCCCCCCCTCGATCAGTCGCTCGCACGGAAGGCGACCAACTAACACCCCCTACCCCCCTAGGGATCTATCGCTCGCACAAAAGGCGATCAACCAACACCCCGCCTTGTCAACCCCCCCCCTAGGGATTAATTGCCTGCATAAAGGGCAATTATTAATTAACAACCCTCTTAATTAATTGCCTATATAAGAGGTAATTAATTAGTTAACACACCTCCCCCCCACCCTAGGGACTAACTGCCCGCACAAAGGCGGTCCACCACTAATACCCCCTCTAGTTGCCCGCACAAAGGGCACCCCTAACACCTTACCCCCCCTTAATTAATTGCCCGCACAGAAGGCAATTAACCTACACTCCCCTCTAAGTTATAGCGTCTCTATACACCTTATATAAAGAGTTATTAGGGGTTACATGTGTGTCTACAATAATTCTACATAAAGAGGTAAATTTAGATCTTCTGCATAATAGAATAAATATAGACTCTCCTCTACTATAATAATAAGCTTTATACGCAGTGTACATCCTCTCTAACATGCGTGAGCTGCTAAGAGGAAGGTACACACTATAAAAGCAAAATAACTTTAAGGGATAGATAACACATAATTTTAATAACCTTCTTTATATAATTAGGCAAGAACTTTTTCTTGCTCTAGCTAAGCATAGGCACTATCTTAAAGGCAGGTTAAATTGTACGCAAGCTAAGAAGCTAGGGGATATTATAAATAAAAAAAGCACTAAGAGTTAGCTCTAAAAAAGAAAGTAGAAAAGTAAAAA